GAACGAAAGCGATAGCGGACGGTCTATGACAACGAAACACTAACCATTTAACTCAGTCGGCTTGCCAACTTCTGCGATCCCCGTGGATGGGAGCCCCGAGAACCAAATCTTTCATCGTTGGTGAAACTGGTATACGTGGCTTAATCCCAGTCATTAGCGCCCGTGCATCGGAGCTATTGCCTTCAATGCGTAATGGCGCAGTTATCCGAACTAACTGATCATGCGATGGCTTCAACTTTTTGGCTGTATCTTCCATGCTCTCCCACCTTCCGGTCATCATCATCGTCATTGTCAGCTGCAAGAACTGTGTACTTGTCGCACAGTGGTTGTAGCTGCCACAGTTTCGTTCGCCGATGATCTAAGGATGTGGGATAGGTAGCTCATCATTAGAGGCGGAAGCTGATAACTTGGTTCGTAAATACAGCACCGTCAGTGGGCTGTTGAGTAGGGGAATTGAGAAGGGAGCTAACATCGAAGGCAATGGTTTGGATGCACGAGGGCTATTGACAGCGCGACTGGGCCATGTCTCTAACCATTCAGTTAGAGTTAGGAGTCCCCATCCAGGAAGGCGGCAATGGACAGCGCAGCTGAGTTTGCTGGTAACCGCTTTTATACTTCACTACCAAGTCATTGTTTGACCGCCTCTGACTCTCTTCCGCCCTTCACCTGGTTGTGCGAAAAGAACCCTTCGAGGAAGTGGGTCGACTAACATACGCAGCACGTGGCCAAGCCAGCGCAACCTATGCAGTGTGTGAGTTATTTTTTCCGAATACCATTCGATGTACTTCGGCACTGATTATCCGGTGTTCCCACCAGATTCGGTCAATGCTCCGAAGACATCGATGGTCAAACACTGAAAGTCTTTTGACGTCGTCGAGGCGCAGCGGCCAGGCTTCTGATCCGTATAGTAATGAACGTACGGCAGAATTGTAAACTCGACCCTTGAGGGATGTCACGCCTACAACACAGGTGACGTAGGTTCATGAAAGCTTCTCTGGCCTTCCCAATCCGGATGACAATTTAATCTTTCGAGAGACCACAGGAACTGATACAGCTGTCCAGGTAAACAAATGTGTCTACTACCTCAATCGGTGCATCCGCAAGCATGAGGCTAGGGTTCGAGCCCGCCTAGTCTTGCAGCAGCACTTTACACTTTGCAGGTGTAAAGCGTATGCCGAACCATGAGGCAAAATTATTTAGATTATCTAATATTGTTTGTATCACCATGGGGTACGATGCAAGAATAGCTATGTCGTCTGCGTACTCGATATCTGTGAGCAGACGCCCAGGGAGCGCTTCAACTCCACAGGTATTAGAGACTAGTAGTGAGTCTTCCATGAAGAAGGAAGGTGAAAGAGGACAGTCCTGTCTGACACCACTTGATGTGGTGAACTCCAGCGGAAGCTTCCCGTAGACCTTCACACGGCCGCGGAAGTTGGCGCACAGCGCCATTAAGAGGGTCAAGAATTTATGGGGGATATTTTTGCTCCACAGATACTGTCATAGTGCCTGACGGTCCAAAGAGTTTTCAGATCAAGAAACACAACCATTGTTGGTTGCTGGAAGCAGTGTCGCTGTTCTAGAATCTGTCGGATGGTGAAGATACGATCGATGCATCCTCTTGCAGGCCAAAACTCAGCTTGGTTTTCACGGATGTCTCTCCCTGTGTTAGTCAACCTTCGAAGGATAAGATCATAGAACACCTTCGGGGCGAGAAGGCCTAAGTGGTTAGAGCGCAAGTTTACTGACCGGAAGGTCTGTGGTTCGGACCGGCCCTCTGCCTCTCGACTTCCCATGTCTAGGCTTGGGCAACCTGCCAGTATCCCAACCCTCGTGCAACCTTCAGGTGGCACGGCAGGTAGGCGCCGAAAGGGTGCTACAGCTGAACGGTTTTTTTACATACTGCTGCTTCTACCATAAAAACGCCAAACCGATTCCTCGTCTATGGCCATTATTGCGCTCTCCCTTGGAGGATCCCGGTGGGTTTACTGTCAATGCTGGCTTAGTTTCTGATGTTAGCATCAAATTAAGCTGAAACCTCGTCCGCTTAGTGATTCACTAACATCGCCCACTGATTAGAGAGGTTCAAGGTAGTCACAGCGATGGTTCGGATGGGCACATGTGTGGCGTCTTTGTCAGTGCTGTAACTGTGGTCAAATTGAAGGATCGCTACACCACAGAGGTAGAAGTGCATGGATTATGTCAATAGTAGGTTGTCCATTTGTAGGCCTACAGTTAAAAGAACGTTTGAAGCTCCGTTAGCTCTGGTAAATTGAGTACGCAAAAGGACCGGAAATTCGAGATATTCGAAACTGACGGAATGACTAAGTAAAAGCGGGTAGGTATTTGACTCAATCTGAGAAAGGAGCACGAAGTCCAACGAAACGGAGTGCGACAAGATACGTGGTAGGAGTCCCTAAGAAGCGGCGGGTGACGCCCTCGGTATCAAAGGACACCTGCGAACAGCGGACCGTAAGTCTTCTGGTCTAATCGCTCACGACCTCATGGGCGAAGAGCTATTGGGTGAACGAAAAAACGACGACAAATGCCAAACTAAAACAAATTAGTGGAAACAACCAGAAGCAAAAGCGAAGGAAACCATACTTTCCTCCAAATCGACAGATAAGAACCAAGGGAATTTCCCCAAACCGTAGAAACACTAGCCGCACGGCATAGTAGTAACCATGCCCGGGAGCTCAACATAGCTCAGTAGTTAACGCGCGAATCTACTTGACAGTGTACGGACGTTAAAAACTCCTATATGGAAAAGACTTCGGGGATTTAGAAGGGTGTTATTTTGTTTAGGTTGGTAGGCAAGAGGAGCATAAGGCCCTTCGGTGAGATAGCTGATAGTCAAATGACCGAGCGACATTTACTTGTGTAGTGGGAAGGGTTGAGGAGGGCCTTCAGTGGACACCGAACTGCGCGAGCAAATGGTACTTCCCGGTTGCCTAGACCGATGGAGGGGGTTAGGTTCAGGTACCCCACCTTTGACTCAGAAGTCTGACCCACAAGGCAGTGGGAGAATGTAGGGTTTGGTTCAGGGACCATGCCCCTAGCCCCTGACTCAAACGTCTGACCTGCTCGGCTGCAGGGGGTTGGTCTAACCCGATGGCGCAGGGAGTAAGGCATTACTGTCCCATTCTTGATGCGGCTGCGCACAGCAGGTGCCTTTTGAACTGCACCGGACTCTTTGGTTTTAAAAGTACTTCTACCCTATTGGATGATGCGTCGGCGGTCACGGTCAACCGTTGGGCGAACGGAGTATGCGGTTTTCGGGGCCGACCTTTTGTAACCCGTCCTTCCTCGGCGGAAGGCAGTACCGCTGCTTCCAAAAATATGGACATGCTGGTCGCATGGGGGAAATACCTTACTTCCTTCACACTTCTGTCGCAGAGCACGATTACTCGTAGTACGGGGTCTCGCTGTTCCTGGTCTGGCTACTGCCCTTTGACCTTCCCGGTATGGTTGCACCTTGTGGAACGAAGTCCCAGCCAGTGTAGCCTACGGGATCATTGTAGCGGCCAAACCCGACCACCACGTCAAGGTGGCAATTTTAAGTTGGGCCACCTTGTGGTGACCGAAATCGTTGCAGCTAGAACCAACGAATCCGTAGTAGGCGGTCTAAAGCTAGTAGACTGAACTGAATGAAATTCCCAAGGTGGCATATCTTGGACTGTACTTGCTAACGCGAGTCCACCGCACGATCTAATGGGTGTATATTGATCGCACTGATACAGATGCGCCTGATGGACTGCCAAGGACATCAAGCATAGAACAGCAGCTCAGTTGTACACCTAACAATAATAATCATTCAGCCGTTACACCCTTCCGAAGCCTAGCCGCCGTGCCAGCCGATGTACGAGGGCTGATATACTGCCAGGTTGTCCAACGCTATAAACGAGCTGTTAAGATAGAGTCTGAGTTCGAACTATGGGCCTTCAGGTCAGTAAATCCGCGCTTTCACCACCGAATCATCTTGAGCTTGAGTGATCTTGCTTAGTTTGTGCTCACTTTCTGGTCCAACATATGTATCTCATTTCTATGGACCTCTCTCCTGTTATTCAGGCGCTGCAAATGTGTGCTCTTTGTGACATGTGCTTCCATTAACCAGTTTCCATATATTCTCATTTGGATTTCAACGTGCACTGTCAACATGTTCTCGTGAGAATCAAGTACTACTTCTATGATCGTCCACCTTACAGTAGATTTAGAGCTAACTTCTGCCCAAATCGCCGTAGTCAAAGTAGTGAGGCGAGCTACAAGTGCCATGGTGGGTAGTCCACAACAGGGTGCCGTGGCATATAAAGATATCAAGATTTTTTTTACCTTCACCCATCGACTGGTTGACCGACTGAGTCGGAAACAAGGCTGCTGAAACTCGTGGACCGATCAAACAGGCTAGATAAAAACATAAGTGGCGCTCACCTAATTGTCTAGTTTGAAGAGCACGAAAATCGTTCTATGTCGGAATGCGCCATTTTATACACTCTGCGACCCCCAAAGATTTTATATGAAGTTGTGTTCAACCATCGCTCAGTGGCATGAGTCAACTTGGGAGATGGAGGACTGCCACGATAGAGAAGAACAAAGACGCTGAGTACCTCGTTTCCTTACCGACTGTTCCCTGAGGTATTTCAGGTGCTAATACTTATACTACGGTGATGACGGTGAGCTCCGTAATTTCATAGTGCGTTTGGTTATCAAGTGGAAAACTGAAGATTGAGTTCTGAGAAACCACCATTGTTTATAAGCGCTTGACCAATGTAAGGAGTTAAAAGGACTGAATTCATATAGAGCAATTGATGGACTAGCAGGTGGGCAATTAGGAGAGGACGATATAGAGAAACTTCGAGCTGCGCCGTTGCTCCGTTATGTTGCTAATTTTAGTCAACTCCATCCACCGATGGGAAGCGAAACGATTAGCGCGTCTAACTGAAGACTAGTTACTCCTTATTTCGTGCGCATCTTATGAAAAACTTCAGACTCTGCAAACTCACTGTGTCAATTATTGGGTATGTAAGGTTGTCTTTGACAGGGGACCCAGACAAATTTGCCCGAACGGCCGAAGAAAGGAAGTTCCCTTCCACTCCAGGCGCCCGATCTTTTTGTTCCCCATGAAATAGTAAATTCTGGAGGTTATCATTTGCGGCTCTGTGAAGCATCCACCGATGCGCAGCAACAAATCCAGGGGGCTCCCGAAGGTATGCGCGAGATTTACGTGGCTGATCCACGTCTTCAACACTGAACCACGGTGAGTATGTAAGTATGAGGACTTACTATGCATGCAGATAGCGAGCGCAGCAAATACACGAAGAGCGAATAACTGTAGCCCCATACTTTTGCACTTTTGTGGACCCGCGCAAAGCGAGGAGCATCTCGCGGGACAATAGTTCCACGTGAGAGGCTCAGCGTGCCCTAGCGCTACCACACCTGCGATTGGCTGATGGGTGACCTTGAGCTCGACTTCATACGGATCCTGCAAGCAGTCGGCGGTAGAAGACGCCAGCGGCTAGAGGCACAATGCGTTTTTCTGTAAAACCCCTGCGGGCGAAATAAAAACTTTAACGACAAAATGTTGCACTTCTTGGCATATATGCGCGGACTGAAAACCACCTGCATCTGCCATCATTTTTTGCTATTTGTTTTAATCGATTTCTTTTGAGAATTATTAGCGCATATTCGGCCTTGAAGTTCGTCTCCTACTGTAGTAGCCGCTGGCTAATCGCACAATAAGATTGAGTTCTCGAAATCTACGGCATTTTCAGACTTGCCACCTCATAGTGTACAATGTCTATGTATAATCTATGTGCTGTTGTATTATTGAAAATCCTTTACTATGGCAATTTGTTTAAATGAACCAAATCCCCAGGTGAATAAACACCGCTGACATTGATTACCTTAACGGATGATAAAAAATCGCGAATCATTGATTACACGGATGATAAAAAATCGCGAATTGTGGAAGAGGTTGACTCACATACAATGAACCTAACTTTCAGGTAATTTCCACCGGACGGAATTTCCTCAACATTCTAGAATCTAATGCACGCTAATGCTAAACATCGTGCACGTTGACTGGCAAATTACAGAGTTTCTCATTATAGGTTCCGAATTATGCTAGAAAGTCCTCCGGGCCGGGTGATCTTAACCGACGCACACCACTAACATGCGGCTAGGGGTACACGATACCTAACTGACTAGTCACATAGAGCCTACGTCGATAATACCGGACAGCTGAACGATCTTAACCGACGCACACCAATAACATGCGGCTAGGGGTACACGAT